TTTTAAAAAAAAAAACCCCCCCCCCCCCCCACAAAAAAAAACTTAACAGAATATTGGGAATCATTAGGAAAGGAATAGAGAATAAGACAAAAAATACCTTATTGCCTCCATATAAAGTCATGGTATGCCCACATCTTGAATACTAGTGTAGGCAGATCTGGTCACCCATTCTAAAAAAAATCTACTGGATTTGGAACAGGTACAGAAAGGGCAACAGAAATGATCAGGGGTGAGGAACAGCTTCCATATGAGAAGAGATTAAAAAGACTGGGACTTTCCACGTGGAAAAGAAATGACTAAAGGATGGGGGAAATGTGAGAGGTCTAGAACATCATGAACGGTGTGGGAACATAGACTATGAACTGTTATTTACTCCTTCACTATCATAACATAAGAAGCTGACCCAATGAAATGTATAGGAAGCAGTTTTAAAACAAACACAATTATTTTTTCACAATTAACCTATGGAACTCTTTGCTGGGAGATGATGGAAAGGCCCAAAGTGTAATAGGGTTCCACTAAGAACAAAATAAGTTCAAGGAGCACAGCTCCATCTACTAGTCAGAATGGGCAGGGGTGGGGTCTCGACCTTCTGTTTGCCAGAAACTGGGAATGGGCGACAGGGGAGGGATCATAAGATGTTTGTCTCTTCTGTTGATGCCTTTCTGAGGCACCTGGCACTGGCCACTGTGGGCAGACAGGACACTGGGCTAGATGGACCTTAGGTCTCACCCAGCCTGGCTGCTCTGATCTTACACAGAGCTCAAATGTATCTGCCCCTGCTGTAACCCACTAGCCCTTTCCAGAGCTGAGAGCGAGCCCCGAGTCCTGACGGTCGGTCTCTCTCTCTCGCTCTGCACTTGGGAAGAAAGTAAGCCCGTATGACAACATGAAGGCTAACCAGTGTCCCTGAAGTGTCAGAGCACCTTAGCGTTGGAGCAAAGAGGGGATCCTATTCATGGGAATTCGATACAGAGCTCCTGTCAGTTACCTGCTAAGTTATCTCCAAACACAAACCTACAATCTTCCTGTGCCTCAGTAGCCCTGGAAAGAGGCAATCTGTGTGTGCGGGGGGAGGGGGGTGAATGGAATCGGTCCCCCACATTTGCTGCTTGGCTTGTACTGAGCACGCTCAGTAAGACGGTGGATGCCACTGTCCTCATCTGCCTCCTGCCCTCCCCCATGCTCTCATTCTCTCCCCACCCCATCAGGGCATGCACAGGTCGCCCCCCATACAAATCGGCAATGGCGCCCCTGGCTGGGCACAGGAACAAGGGCCAAGCGTAGGGCCTGACCCAGCATGGGACACTCCCCTCTGCTCACCTGTCAGAGGGAAGGGGGATTGTCGGACCCCCCAGCAGCATCACTGGGGAACTAGGCCTCCCACGGTGGCAGGCTGCTGCTTGCCCTTCAGGAGGATGGCTACTTCCCCCTCTGCAGTCTTTCCCACTCCGTGCCCCTTCCCCTCAGGGCCTGGCCTGGCCAGGGGGAGCAGGGCAGCATGCACTCAGGACGGGCCTTTGGTGACAGCAGCCATGTCTGGAGGAACCAGGCGCTAGATGGGGCGTGGATGGGGCTGCAGAGGTTGAAGGTGGGTGCGGTTTGGGGATGGAGAGGCAGTTAGACAGGGGATGGGCAGGTCAGTAGAGGAGCGCCGAGGGGCAGGGAGATACCCCATGGGTCTGCAGGACTAGGAAGTGGGGACAACAGGGGATTAGACACACAGGTTTGGAATTAAATCTGGAGCAAAAGGCATCCCAGCCCCTGTTGCGGCCACATCCCTGAACTTCCTCACTGGACCCAAGTGGCTCCCTGTGCTCCTGCCCCCGATGCTTCTTCTCACCCACAGGCCCCCCAAGATCCGAGCTCCCCCTACATGGAGGTGGGTGGGCAGCAAGATGACCGCCCACTGTGGGGCAGCTGGGCCAACCCCGCCAGAGAGCTTGGTTCAACCTGCCTTAGGGGGACAGGCTGCACCCCACCGTCAACCATGGCCGGTCTGAGGGGCCTTAGCCCCATGATACAGTTGTCTGCTGTGTGTCTGAGTCCTGCGCAAGCGTGTATGTAGAAGTGTGCAGTGTTACTCGGTGCCCATGCTGGCAGCAGAGAGTGGAATTGGGACCCATGTGTGAGGCTGGTGAAAGGGCCTCCTGGCCCCGCCAGGGAAAAGAGGTCTCCAGGAGCTGAGCTCATCCCTTGCTGCGTGTCTCACATGCTGCTTTGCCGTGCACCTGCCCTGGACACGCAGCGTGACGGGCGGGTTGGGCCGTTTCAGGGGCCGTGCAGGGCTCGTTCGAGGTGCACGTCTCGCCGGAAGCCCCCTTGGTGGAGCACGGAGGGTCCGTCTGGATAAACTGCAGCCACACGTGCGAAGATCCTGCTGCCCCGGGGGGCCTGGAGACCTCGCTCGCCAAAGCCAGCTCAAAACATGGACCCAGCTGGGTGGCCTTTCACCTCGTCAATATCCAGGAATGGGCATCGGCCCCTGTGTGCCACTTCGTGTGCCGAGGAGATTCGAGGCGTGCAACCGCAGCCCTCTCTGCTTACCGTAAGTGCCCCGGGCTCCCAGCTCTTGCCCCACTGAGACCTTCTGGCTGCCCTCAATGGGGCGCTGACACCATCTGGCCCTGGGCAGAGGACTGGCTGCTTTAGGGAGCAGGAAATGGGGCACGGGCCTTTCCCCGCAAGGGACGCTGGCTCCGACCCACTGAGCCAGGCGGCGCCTGCGTGGAGCTGCCCTCTGGCAGCGGTTGGGTGGGACGAGTTGCTGGGCCTCACTGGAGGCAGCCATCCACGTCCAGACCTCCTGCCCATTAGCACGCAGCCATCCCCTTCCAGACCTCCTGCCCATTAGCACTCCTGCCAGCCGGGCGGCAAGTCTGCGCGTGGCTCTGGCCGCCAGTGGGTCCCCTCCGGGGCAGGACTCTGCTCGTGGGGAGCTTCCCTGGGGCTCCGCCTGCCTGGGGTGCAGCGATGCACGTTCCAGCACCTTTCCGCAGCCCCCGGGTCATAAGGGAACCAATTAACCCACCTTTGGGTCCTTCCTCCTCTGCCTCCAGGGGCGCCAGAGCAGGTGGTGCTGGAGCCGCTCCCAGTGATGGAGGTGGGCCGGGCCTATAACCTAACGTGCTGGGTTCTGAGCGTGGCTCCCGTCAAACACCTCACCGTGACCCTCCGCCAGGGGGGCTGGACCCTGCACACGGAGACCTTCCAGCACCACACCGGGGCCGAACCCAGCAACATCACGGTGACCCAAGAGATAACCCCTCTGCGATGGGACCATGGGCAGCAGGTCAGCTGCCACGCGGACCTGGACCTGACACTGCATGGGCCGCTTATCCAAAAGAGCAGCTCTGCCATGGAGCTCCAGGTGTATGGTGAGTCCCTGCATGGTCCGGGCACCAGCCCCCGCTACTGGTGCCAGACACTGCTCAGCTGAGCGCCAGACACCGCTCCAGACAGGTACAGACACCGCTCCGGCCGGGTACAGACACCGCTCCGGCCGGGTACCAGACACCGCTCCGGCCGGGTACCAGACACCGCTCCGGGCACCAGATACCACAAACTGGACACCAGACACCGCTCCAGCCGGGTACCAGACACTGCTCCGGCCGGGTACTAAACACTGCTCCGGCTGGGTACCAGACATCGCTCAGCTGGGCACCAGACACTGCTAGGCCGGGCACCAGACACCACCCAGGC